TATTATTATTATTATTATTATTATTATTATTATTATTATTATTATTATGAAGGAGATTATGGAATAAAAAGATCCGATTTTGAAAAAAAAGTCGGTATATGCTGAAAATCTTAGAATCGCTATAGAGCTGGCACATCCTTGCTGGAAATCACCGGCGGCGCGAATTTCACAAATTTCCTTTTGTGTGAACTGAGCTTTTGACAAAAGCGGTGAAGAAGTAAACCAAGCTGTTCCACAAAGCTGAGCTTCTCACGTTGAGCTTAACCAGCTGTATACATTCACTCCGTTTTTGGAGGTATTATCATGAGGCTAGTACTGAACGACAATAATGGAGAGACTTACACCAAAAAACACTAGAGAGCGTGCTGTACTGACAATTATCAGAGCCAACGTTAGGAGACCAAATATAGTCAAATTGAACCGGTTGTCGTCCATACTCCACACAAGCTGTTCCGATACGTTTGCGGTGATGTTCATGTCATGTCGAAAGTCCACGAGTGCAGACCTGAAATGAAATGGATGGGATAGGGATACCATTTACCAGGTTGACTTTTTTTATCTATGGGCGAGAATGATACATGAAGTTCGAATATGATAACTCTGAGGAGACGTAGCAACTCAAACACTCATAAGTGCTCAAATCGGAAATTGAAAAAAAAAACGGAAATTAGTGTACAGATGTACCCTACCGGTAAAGTAACCTGAAGAAGCGGAGACAAAGTGAGCACTCTTGAAATGTGGCACATTTGACAAACCTATGTAAGTTAAACATAAAAAACAGGGGGCCTGATTGATGCTTCGCAACATAGCACACTTATCTCAGAACTACCGCAGCTTGTATCGTAATCATGATGTCAAATGCACAAGTTCACCGTGAGCCATAATGGAAAACAGTTACATTCGTAACCTTTTGGACCAAATCAGAATGAAACATTACGCTGGCAAAATTCATTTCCCTGAATACAGTATGGTAGGAGATTTTGCAGATTGTATAAAGGAATCATATGAAGCCTACAGTGAAAAAGGTTTTCGATCTGATTGACGCCGATAAGGTAAAAATACTGACTAGAGCTGGATGCACCGACCGATGCCAACAGTTTGGGTTTTCAATCGGGGTTTTGTCCAATTTGTGCTGGAAATCCGAGAAGCACATTCCAACCGTTTCATCATTATTGGAAATCACCAACAGTGCGTATCTCACGAAACTCCGAGAAGTTTCGAATCCGCAACCACCTGGCTAGTTGGTAAGGTAAGCCAAATTGAGTAGACCGTTCACTTCAAATAGTAATTACGAGTTCGGAACCTTTTGGTGTTTCGTAAGATATGCACCATTGATGATTCCCGATAGGAATGAAACATCTGTACAGTGCTGCTCGGCTTAAAAGTACAGAGTGGTTTTGCTTACAGGATAAAAGCTCAGTTGAAAAGGCTCAAATTACTAACACTGCCAACATTTTGGGTTTTGGCGGTAATGAAACTGAAAAAAATTCACATATAGTAGACATGAGCAAGCTGACCCGCCTACTCATATTCGGCACTCGGCGAACGTTTCCCATGTGTTTTCCACTGAGTTCGGAATATGCATGCGTTAAGAGAACACAGACAATTGATTGTTCACCCGACATGTGGAGTGTACAACCATAGATTGACACGTTCTGTGAGGCTATTTAATCAAATTATTCCTCAAAATGTAGTCCTCGGTTCGATCTAAAGCAGACGTCCAACATTTCAGAAAAATCTACAAATAATCACGGAAAACTGGATCCCTCTTAAATTTTAGCTTCGCGACCCTCACTGTTCATTAGTAAACAGCTCAACAGTTGGATGTTCTTCATACACCTGATCACGTTCATCAGAACAAAATATAAGCTAGACTCTATAGCGATTCTGAAGACTACTACAGACATTCGAAGCTCCGTTATGGGTGTTGTACCTGTGCCGCGCTCCAAATTTAATTAAAAATCAAAAGAAACCAAGTAAAAACTCACCATTTTGTCAACCAGAAATCGCATCCCGCATAGTTTGTGATTGTAATGACAAAAAGAATTATTGTCGTGAATACTCCACACAGGCCGCCACCAATACGTCCAAGAATAATATAATATCGCCAGCTGATGGTGCCACTTTGCCACACCTCCACCTGTTCGGTTTCTTCAACCTCGTCTTCAAGGCCTTTTATGATGTCCCAATTTTCTTCATCGAATTCAGCGGGCACGTGGTCTATGATACCCGGGGCTACTGCATTTTCCATACTGAAGGCCAACCGGGATGTGAGTGAACTACGTGAAGCAATGCTCAACCTCGAGGTGGTCTTATAGGGCATGGGAGAAGGATTCCACTACAAAGTGAAAGAATAAGCGGAATTTCCATAAGACAAAAGAGCTCATTATCTATTGATGAGCTACTTTAGGCCAGCCGTTATTTTGTTGCACGGTGATTTTCTATTCCACAGAATTTTCTAATAAGGAACATGCAAGAGATGGGCCTCGGAGTTCGAAATTCTAAAGTCTGATTAAAGTGGATACATGAAAAGAGGCTATTTAAGATGAGGCAGATAATTCAGTTGAGTACAGTGGTTTTAGATTAGGAACATGTACGTGTTTAAGCTGGTACTTGGATAAACGAAGTTGTCGCTGCCTTTCAAAAAGATCACTTTGAATTCATTCGTTCAGTTGTGTTTCAATTCCTTTCCTGAAGACCGATGTAAAAGATCACTAATGGTCGGTCCTCAAGAGGAAGATAAGTTCACATTAAACGCTGACAAATGTGCCAAAACACTAAAGATAGGGGTATAGTTTTAATGATCACCCCCGACACAAATTATCCTCTCACGAAAACAAGTCTCAATACTAACGAGAAGTGTAACCAACCATAAATTTTCTCTGTTGGAAGAAGTAACAACACATTTGTGAGAACACAAATTTCGCTGTTCTAGCTTCGGCCTTAAGGTAAAGCTGAGCTTGGAAATGGTGAAACATATAGCAAAAGTACCGTTAAAAAGGGATCAGTGGTAAAATTCCACCATCCTAAAATTCAACATACTTTACTACCTCGGTATGGAGCGTCCGTTTTTAACAGAAATGGCCTACTAGACGACCGCTAGTAGCACAAAACCATTTTTCTTGTGATTGGTGCAGCACTCAGATAATTATGCAAGGTTTTCTCGAACGCCACATATTGTGGTTGAAAAAGGCGGTACTAAGCAAAAGACGGTCGAGCTGAACCATTTTTGTAGGTAAAGCAATTGGGTGATAGTAGTTTTTTTTGCATGAAACCGTGCGTGTCTGTTTCACCGGTTTAAGAACTAGCCTATTGAGCGCTCTGATTGTAATTGCTGATCACTTTCGCTGGCGCATCCTTCGTACGCCGTTGCACCTGGTTCCCATTCGAAGGGCACGACTAATGAGCCGGTAAAAAAACATCTAGTGGAATCATTTTGTGCATTTGAATCGTTAGTTTTTATTCTACTTGAACAGTGAGTGGAATCATGAATAAATTTAAGCTGTTCGCCACTCCGTTCCGAGGTTCGACCTAACAGTTCCTACAGTCAGCTTGCAAGTTCTAATTAGACTTGCTATGAGGTGAGACTGGATTCTGAAACCAAAACTGAAACATCCAGTCCGTCGTCCTTATCTAGATTTTACTTATAAGCGTGGAGGGACCGACGCAGTGGCCCTCTGGTTGACGGTCCGGACCACTCAAGTGTCAGACGCCACATTCAAAGATAGCAACGTTAGACGATAAACAGTGAAAAAGACGTTGAAGGAACACTAGAATCGAAGGAAGCAGGAAGGGTTGAATTATTGGAATGGTTCGAAATTCAAGACAATACTCAGACCAGCAGAAGTCATGAACATCACTTTAATGATAACATTTGGTTCTAAGACCACATGCGGATTACGAGAAAATAGCTATTTTCACTTACAGTTCGTTAGACAGATTAGTGCGCTCAGTGATGTTTTACTGATCAGAAACAACAGAACATGAAAGAAATTATTCAGCCCTGGCCATTCACGTCTCCGAAACAACACATACATTTGTTGGATAATACGTTCAAAAATGCTGCGGTGTACCAAATGGATTTCGAAACAACTAACTCGTCTATGATGTAGGGGAAGTTGATAATTCGATTTTGCCGTTAGTTAGACCACAACAATTGCATAATGGGACACCAACTGCTCTATATAACAAGTTTAAGGCCGGTCACTGAACGAACAAATTGATCCAAAAGTATCACCTATTACAGAAGCATGAACCATCCGAGCAGTCCATTTAGTCGCGTTAACAGCCGTTGTTTCCTCGAATACGGACCATGAGATATGACACATCAGTAAAGAGAGAAACCAATACTCAAACTCGGTGTCAGGGCCACCGCCCTAAGCTCATAAACTCAAGCCGGTTACTGGAGGATTCGTTTCCCACTGACTATATGTTGAAAGGAAAACAACTCAACTGACAGACTAGAAAAAGGTCCACATCAGTCTCTCATACATAGGAGCAACAACCAACAAAAAAAATCGCCAGAAGACTATATAACAGTGTAGAGTCTACAGTTACGGCGTCTATGCACCGTTTGAGATTCAGTTCTTAAGCCATAATCAGACCGCACTTGAATGACTAAATAACTGCTAAGTGCTGCCGAACTCTTTTGTGTGTATACTCGTCCGCATGCTCGTGTCGAGCATCTTATGTTGGTCGTAGGGTGAGATGTTTTATTCCACAGAACACTGTCCCTCTTCATTGATTTGGGAAGACTGTGGACCCATTTCAAGCACAATGGTTTCTACCTAGCTGGAACCGCTCACACAGTGGATAAAGGTCGAGCTTTCCGCATCACCTAGAACCCCCATTCGTGATAATCCGGCTGTTATCCACGAGTGAGTCAATCATAATTCGCCTCTGTGATCTTGACCTTTGCAATCAATAGAAATTCGGGCTAACGTTGAACTTGTGCCGATCCACAGTCAGTTTCTCAACTGATGGTTTCTCTCTGACTCTTGGCTTTGTTGGTACTTGTCCTACAAAATGCTTCAAGTTAGCCAATCACAGGTCTGCATTTTTCAGTCTTCTGCAGGTTGAATAACCAAACTGGAAGAACACGCATGAAGGGACAACATCGATCATTTCTCAGAGTTTCTTGAGACACAAATAAAAATGAGTTGGACTTCGGTGACCTCCATTCTGTTTGCTCTGGATATATCTTTCAAGCAGGGACTTGATATCAGATCGTCTTGTTTGATAAAGAGCATTAGCAGCAACTCAATTCGCTATCGGTTGATCAGTCTCCCTTAAGTGTTACATTGCATCCCAACAAATGGGTATAGATGGGATTCAGTGATTCTACTACCGCCAGTGGTTAATTTGATAATTTTATGAAAAATTTAACGAAAAATCCATTGTCACATGAGCACCGGACTAATTAACACTACTGCTCATCAGACCCAACGGGAAAACACTTCCTAAACGTTTGTATGTCAGAAAGACCTAGTGGGAAAAAAAAGTAAACAAAGTGACGCTCATTTTCCCGTTCGGATGGTACTCCAAGTTAAGCGGATGAGAAATGAGCTAAACAGAATTCTCTCATTGGAATCGCTACTGTGCTAGACCATCAGGAACGATTCATTTGCCAGTCAAGTTCCAATCCGGCGTATTTTAGGGCATTGTAAACAGTCCTTGTTGAAACGAATGAAGTCAGAATATGTAACGGCTATCAGAAGAATTTCGAATACTTGAGAAACAATATAAGGCACAATCGTAATCACTGTCTTGCATTTCTTGCCATCCCTGTTTATTGGAAATTAACAAGCCCGTCCGTGTATTTCAGTTGCACGGCTGATGACTCCCAATGAAAACGAAACAGCTGTACGGTACCTCTCGATTTTTTGCACGTATAGGACAAAATATGGCTGCAAAATTGTCGTGCTAAATCTGTGAAGTCAATGTCTGCGGCAGAAAAGTTATAAAATCGTTCGCATCAAACGCCAATCGTGTACACCCATTCAGCGTTCACGATGAGAACGTCATAAATCAGTAAACCGCTACAACTGGCAATGGGAACACGGACAGCAAAACCGCATGTTGGCACGAGAACAAATATCCCACTGCGAATGACTGCAGTCAATTTCGATCGCAACGCACCCTAGCAAAGGGCTAAACGTATACCATGGAAAGAGCCAATTGCTATACGCACATAATTCAAATGGATTTTTTGAAGCTACTTTAACTGTTCAGCTGTAACACCCTTCCGGTGCCTAGCTGCCATGCCACCGGGAGGAAGCACGAGGGCTGGGATACTACTTTAGGACACCTCGAAGGAAAGCACTTATCATTTCGAACTAGATGTGGTCGTCTCGGTTGGAAGTGGCTCATTCTCGAAATTTGGCAACAAAAACTTACAAGATTCTTCTACCTTTACGAAGCTAAAAGACAAACGTTTGTAACAGAAAAGCATGTGTTGAATAGTACAGGTTCACTTTTGTGACAGCTAAACTTTCGCATTCCTCCGGTAACTAGGACTATGTAACACTACCAGGCTGTGAATATAGGCTAATCTCTGGCCGTTCTCATCATGCACGCCGAGTGTATGCATGTGTGTAAGGCTCACGTAAATCTTCATGAACTGGACGCATCTTTCACGACCTATTCGTTGTTAAGACTCAGTTTGGCTTTTGGAAAGGTTTAAGTTCGCAGTTAGAATGCTACATTTACGTGTACTATGTGAATAAGAAACCAAAACACAAAGAACACCAGAGGAGAATTCTGGACATTTACAAAAACCCTTCGCACAAACAGTGAATCAAGAACACTTCGTGGCAGTAACCACAAAACGAAAATTCACAGTAAATCCACCTTTTCGGTATGACGCTTTACCCTCGTTTGCTTTCGCGAGGCCACCGTGCAAACTGGAACCCTACAGCGACCTCGCCACATCTTATCGGTGTGGCCAATCGCAGCGACAAGCTTCAGCCAAGGCCTTATTCGAATCCATGTAACAGGCCTTTTGTCACACCTGCTATTGTCCACACGCGTGTTGTGGTGGTTGGCCTGGTACACTTGAGGCGCAGGCCCCCACCACCGGGACATACTAACGGCCACAGGCAATCGATCATGGTATGGGTCTCCGTATTGAGTAAAAACCTAGTTACGGGCTCCAGCCTATGACATTTTGGTACCGTTCCGATCTCACCAGTTTTCCTTCAATCAGTTTGCTACTGCAAGAATCGTCTAAAGATTCGGTGAAAACGAATCAACACACCACATTCTTATTCAGAAATAGAGGTCTTCAATGATATCAGTAATTCTCCGGTGTTATAATGTTTCTAGAGATTAAATTCCATATACAACGGTGTTCAGACCTGGAACTTGCTGCAAGTCCTCAAGTTAAGCGCTAAATTATGGTTATGTCAGAAATCCCCACAGTCAGTCTCACTGACACTAATTCTTTCGTTGCTATCTTTTCTCCGTAGAATCACGTTCACTAGTGAAATATTGTGCACGCGTTAGGAAATTTCCAAATGTTATATCAATACATATTTTGGACTGCACTTGTATGGTTTCAGAGATATCAATGTTGGACAATGGTTTGCGGCCAACAATAGACACATAGTCTTATGAAGAACGGAGAGGGCACACTGAAGAATGCTGCTCATTGTCCTACCTGCGCCGCAACTTGATTGAACAGCTTTCACGGAAAACAAACTAGAGCCTTTCAAGGCCTAGGTTGGTTAGGATATGCGCTAAGAATCGAGCGCCCACTAGTTCTGCCCCACCAAAATACTTCTAAGAAATGTGACTACCTTCTGCAACTAGGAGTATGGTAATGTGGTGAAATATTGGTAGCTACTAGAGCCTAGGCCTAGGTTGGTTAGGATATGCGCTAAGAATCGAGCGCCCACTAGTTCTGCCCCACCAAAATACTTCTAAGAAATGTGTGTGACTTCTGCAACTAGGAGTATGGTAATGTGGTGAAATATTGGTAGCTCGGGTGAGTTTATTAGTTGTTGATCAGATGGTTGTTGATCTGTTCGCCGAGCTTGGCAATTGGCTTGCAAACGTTCCGTCCCCATACGAGGAAACATCATCAGTGCGCAGTTGGGTGGGTAATTCTTCCTTGCCTGCGTGTGTTTATATAGCAGTCAAAGGCTATCTGTTATCTTCGATGGGAGACTTTCCCCTGCCGACAAGCCTCCACACGACAACAGCTCTACTTCCTCCATGAATGCCTGCCGAAACACGTCCTTCCACGTAGCGTAACCTACCGACCACCAATAAACCATCCACAAGCTTGGATAATAGCTAGACAGAATGGCCGACGAATGGTCAGACTCATGATTACAGACGCTCACAACCGCATTAGAAAATACGAGAGAATAGCCAACGAACATAGGGAAGCCTGCTTGAGGACAATAGGACCAGTCTCATGGAGCAACTTAGCATGGCGGCAGAACTAAGAGTTTCATCCACTGCTAAAAACAAGAAGGCTCATCTAGATAGCAAATTCTCAAGGCTGATTAGAAATCAGGAGTGCGAAAGTAGTCACAATGAAGCCTGGATAAGGAATCTGTCCAAAAGGCAACTGACGGAAGCTGAAGAAAATGTTCTCGTCAAAGGACTTAATTTCAACTTCAAAGACGCGACAAACCTGGAGTATTTAGCCAGCCTAGAAGCAGCGATGAAATCTCTTGGACTCGACGAAAACGCTCAGCAGCAACTTCGTCAAACTGTCGTCCCAGCCATCGCACGCAACAAACCACTCAACGTGCTTTCCGGCAAAGAAAAAGAAGCAATGAACAAGTTGAAGAGGGATGAAAACATCGTGATTCTACCGGCAGACAAGGGACGCCTAACGGTGATCATGGACAAACCGGACTACATCAATAAAGCAAAGGCACTACTCAACGACACAACTACGTACCGCCGCTTAGAACGCGACCAAAGCAAGCAGCTAGCAAGCAAAATCAATAAGAACTTGAAGCAACTCCAAGATCTCCACAAGATTACAAAAGAGGAATATTGGAGAATGAGAGCTCGTGATTCGGCCATTCCTCGCTTCTACGGACTCCCAAAGGTACACAAAGAATCAATACCTCTCCGGCCAATTGTATCACTTCCTGGAACAGCGACCTACAATCTTTCGAAAGAACTATGGAAAAGGTTAAAGCATCTCATCGGTGGGTCGCAATACTCAATCAACAATGCGGGACAATTTTTGGAGAAACTAAAACACGTAAGCATCGATCAGGACGAAATAATGGTTTCATTTGATGTCAGCTCACTATTCACGTCTGTAGATCTCGATTCAGCCAAGACAACTGTGGCCGAATTATTGGACAACAACGACACGCCAACTGGATCGCTGGAGAAGGAAGACCTCTGCAGATTACTCGACTTATGCCTGATCACACATTTTGAGTTCAACGGAGAATATTATGAACAACTACGAGGGACACCAATGGGATCGCCGATTTCAGGATTCATTGCAGAAGTCACAATGCAGAAATTGGAACAAATCGTGTTGCCCGATATAAATCCCAAAATATGGGTTCGTTACGTGGACGATACATTCGTGATCATCAAAAGAAGCGAACTGCAACGAGTAATCCAACTGCTAAACAACGTCTTTGACGACATCAACTTCACAACTGAAGAAGAAAACAACGGAAAACTGGCGTTCCTGGACGTCCTTGTCACTAGATTGCCGAACGGACAGCTACAAACTGAAGTCTACAGAAAGGCGACACATACGGACCAAATCCTCAGCTACCACAGCAACCATCCAAATTGCCACAAACGAAGCTGCATTCGGACACTTTTCAAGCGGATCGAGACACACTGCAGTACAACAGAATCCAAGATCAAAGAAGAAAAGCGCCTATACAAATTGTTTCAGAAAAATGGATACCCGAGGAATTTCATCTGGAGAACACTCAGGAAGCCAGACACGATCGATGCAACAGGACAAACTGCAAGCAAACGAGTCACACTTCCGTACATCAAGAACACCGCTGAAATGACGGCAAGGCTCCTACGACAGCACAATAGAATGGTCGCCTACAAGCCTGCGAATACTCTGTGGAGGACATTATCAAGACCAAAGGGGAAGTTAGATCCAATGGCGAAGAACAATGTCATATACAGGATCCAATGCAAGGACTGTGACAAACGGTATATAGGACAAACGGGAAGGAAGCTCTCCACCAGAACACATGAACACAAACTCGCCACTAAAAGACACGATCAGTTCTCCCTCATCTCCGCACACAAAGACCAAGAGGGACACGAGTTCGACTGGAACGGCGTTCGCATACTAGCTCAAGCAAGAACAAAACGAGAACGCGAATTTATGGAGGCGTGGTACTCCACCGAAGAAGCCATCAACAAACACATCGAAATTGATCCCATTTACTAGCCACTAAGAGCGAGAGAACGCCAGAACCACAGAACTCAGAGCTGCAAAAGCGACCATACGAGGAACTCAAACAAGAAGCAAGAAAGCGTCATTCAAACGGACACACCAATTGGACTGGAGAAGGCGCCCAATCAAAGCACCAAATCAACCGGCGGACGCAGGGACACTAACGGCCACGATGGAGGAAATAGGTCGGTACAAGCAACCAATCAAACTCGAGAACGGCAGACCACAACGCAATGCGAATCGAGCCACTAAAACTAGCAGCCATTGGGATAACCAATGAACACAAAGGAACACAGACCACAACACAATAAAAGATCACAAACGGACCAATTGATTCACTAAGCTCGCTACACTTCAAGTAGCTAATCACGTCAGAAGATAACAGATAGCCTTTGACTGCTATATAAACTAATGCAGGCAAGGAAGAAGTATCCACCCAACTGCGCACTGATGATGTTTCCTCGTATGGTGACGAAACGTTTGCAAGCCAATTGCCAAGCTCGGCGAACAGATCAACAACCATCTGATCAACAACCATTAACTAGGAGTATTTCTGTCAATGAGAAGGGGGCGCTTTCACTATGTTACGAACGCAGCTCCACGAGGAGGGTTTAGCAGGATCACTCTTGAATTCAAACCAGCAACGTGACGTCATGTGGACAGTTAGAGCATATGAAGCAGATGATGGTGCCTGGACATGACGGCTTTCTATCTTAATCCTTTTGTTTTACAATTTGTCTGGTTATACAAGTTATCCGTATCAAAACTCGCACCTTATCCTCGGCGACATGTCTGTATCTCACACCGCACGCCAGGCCACACCATCCGGATAATCAGCCTGTTGGGACATCGGAAGTAAGAACATCACAACACAAAGTCTCCAAATCTATCAACTCGGTACCACCTGCTTTATCAGATCATGGCTTCCAAGATTCTTTAGGTAGCGCATCATTGGTCAAGAACGATGAGCCGAGTACGACACCATTAATGCAGCCCAGAAGAATTCCAGTCTTTTTAGCTTTTATCCGGATCAACCGTGGCCACACAGCTCACACCCAGAACACTATGCAGCCAACTGCTGTCTAATGCTTCTGTCAAACATGAGTTCTGTCAACATCCATAGAGTCAATCGAAATCCCCACCGGAACGTTCTCTTGAATGTCTGACAGAAATGCAGTGAACTGAAACGGGTGCTAGCCACCGTATTTCCCGGAGCTGTGACTCGGCACTGTCCACACACGAAAATATACCTAGGTATTTGGTATGCAAACGATAGTCACGCTGTCTTAAACTGGCTACATTCCATAGCGTGTGCAATGAGTGTTGTCGATGGAAGACTGCATGTGTCAGCACAAAATACAACCTTTAAAACACTTCAACATAGTCCTTGTGCCAGGTTCATAGACACGGGTTCAAATTGCGAATCAGATAAACAAAACCTACTCCATAACAAGCTTCCATGTACGCAGGTTCAATCACAATGTGTCGAGGGACCGTGGCGACTTATTCACAAAACAACACAAGGTGCTTCCACGATGACGTTAGACCGCGATTTATGAAGTACAGATGTTTGGTGTTCCAGTTGAGTGACTGAATTTTTCGAACTTGCAGCGTGAGTCACTACCTCTGACCGAGGGTTGGTAGTGTAGGCACATCGGTTTTCTGTGATAGGTTAGCTCTAGGTTCCTCTCTATCTTTTTTCCTCTTTCTTCCATTACAAAGCCTTATTCAAACAAACTGGTATGGCCGCGTGGCAATGAAGCATCAGTGTTCTCGTTTAGTATTGCTGTCAGTGATGATGATGATGATGATAAGAAGAAGAAGATGATGATGATGATGATGATGATGATACATCACCCTCACAGGTTATGATGGGGGTGAGGATAGGATAAAGTGTTGTCCCCTAAGGTTCAAATTCTGGCAACTGCCTAAATTGTCCAACCTTCTCTGTCAGAATTCTTATCAAATTTCGGTCCAACCATTCTCCCTTCATTATGTTCACACAAGCAAACAGCCGTCGGAAGACCGGAAAGATAGGCGGAACACAATGGTGCACAAATTATCTGTTTTTCCAGGAGCACTGATTCACTTAGGTCAAAACACTGCCACAAACAAAGACAACAGAGTGTGGAGATCTTGGCCAAGCGAAATTAACAGTACAATCAACTTTTTTTTAAAAAAGAAGTGGTTCCCGGTAAGACTTGAAGTTCGTCACTCAGCGACCCTCCAACACTTTCACGAACTAAGCTGCTTAATATTCGGCTATGAAATGCATTCAGAGAAGTGACTTATCCCAATGACGCAGCTGAAAATTGTGAAAGCTACACAGTATTAGCCCTGACAGAGGTTTGAGTGAGACGTTCGATCCTCTGCCCCTGAGATGCCACAGAAAAACGACAAAAGGCAAAGTCAAACTCAGATATGGTGGGGACATGTGGAGCAGGTATTCACTCTATACCGTACTTTGGGCTGCAATATTACAACAATCAGTCGCAGTTTGTCTTGTTTGTCTTCAAAGGCATTTGGTTGTGTTTTGAGGGGCTGCTTCATCCGAGCTGGGGGCTCATGCCGTTCTTTGGAAACTACCGATCCTAATCACGGTCCAATATCTAGGATGGGAAGACCGTATCTAAGTGAATGGAGAGGAAATTACAAAGTCTATCTGGAATCCGGCGCAATAAAAGGTTTCCCATTGTGATCAGCACCGTCCAAGTTCGTGATTAATGGTCAGCTCAATCACTTGCACAATTTACGCAGTCCGACCATACTAGAGACGTGATTCTGAGGACTCGCCAGACAAACTGCGGACATTGGTGATCCCCTAGCCTAGTTGAGTCACTTATAGGATTGGTAAGTCAGTAACAAAGGCTTCTAGCACCGTACAAGGGATCTAAACATGATCGAGCTCTGTCAGAAAAAAGTAGACCAAGTTCCCTGTCTCAGATACTTGGGTGTCCAATCACCCACAAGTAAGTGGCAGGGTCGATTCGACATCAGGAAGTTAATGCAGCTAACCAGTACCGCCTGGAGACGTCGAGAAATTAACCGCAACACAAGGCTTCGCTTATGCAACGGGAAGCCTGATTCATAGTAATAGCTGGAAGTGTTCCCCTATCGAAAATCTGCAGCATTCTTACTGATGCGTTCGATGCGTACCGTAGGTTCGACAGATGAACAAACTGACGAACTACGATATCAAAGGTAGCTGCAACGTGCGTCATCTTCCCGAACTTGTTCAGGCGTGCGAATTACTAAATTAAGCAACATACTTTAGTGGGCCTCTTGTACCTGTGTTCCATCACTCTTTTCGCAGACGAATCTATGATCATGGATCACGTATGATTATTCGAAAACGACACCTCAGTAATCCCACACTGTTTTCGATGGGTTGGCGCTCTCTAAGGTGTACCAGCCCACAGTGGTGTCGTTAAATGCACGTTTCGGCCCTCGATGTATGACTTTTCGGGCAGCAACAACTTGGTCATATTAACGGGTAATTCATCGAAAAGAACTTGGTTCCATATGCTGAGAAAATGATTCTTTTATTATATCATTAGGATGTGTCGTTACTGTTGAATTACGCCATTAGTTTTAAAAAAGTGACTAACTACGACACGCGCTCTCTTGAGCGGATATTTCCGATGCGTTTGGATTTTCTCGTAACATACATTTGCACGCCTGATTCTACTACCGTCGTGATGACAAATACGGTGCATGAAAGGGTGGATATACAATGAATACCAACTGAAAAATATGACTGATTAGAATGCATGGCCAGGGGACCCAGTGGATAACACCAAGGAGATGTATCTCAACACGTTGACACTCATCCAAGAGACTTAAAAAGAAACACTTATGCCTTTAGGGTCTGTCATCTAATGACGCAATATTGTTGAAGATGTACAGATCTAGAGTATTCAGCATTCACCACATATGCGGTTAACTGGCTCACTTTTCGTTTGGTATCAGTCACGTCGGATAAACTGAGCACGCTTTGAATTTCGAGTTCTCCGGTAGGGGACGCCTTTGTACGTGGGATACGCAAGCTCGTTTGTGAAGACAACAGATTATCAGTAGTTTCCTGTTCTGTTCTAGTCGCTCGCTGGAGGTCTTCATTCGCAAACGACGGACGGTTCTTCGAAGAAAAGCGCCTTCGCTCACCTTCTGGTGCCAAAGGGACGGAAAGAGCCATATCCGAAGCAGGCTTTTCCGCGGATGGAAACCAATATTGTCCGTTTGGTAATGACACAGCCTGACTGATTTCCGAGGATATCTTGATGTCGTCCTCTTTGACATCTGTCAAAACGTCCGGCTGACTGCAACCGAGGTTGTGAAATTCAATCCCCTTGGAGATTAACTCCTCATAAGTACCAAATTCAGCCACCCTTCCCTAAAAGGACGATAGATATTTGTTACAGGCATCATGTATATGATGTCGTAATTTCACACTACATGAGCTATGACCAACAACTAATTAGCTCACTCGAGCACATTACTAACAGCGCGATCAGTTGAGCAGGGAAGTGACGGGGCACAAATACGGAATCCTAAAGACAACAGGCTTTATGAACTAGCTGTTCGCTCACTTTTTTTGCCATATTCTTGTATAGAATAAACATTGTCTTAGCTTTTCAATCGGCGGGAATATATTTGCCAGTAGCAAAACCTACCAAGGGAATATCGGATATGTACCGTGCGTTGTACTCGGTGATGCTTTTGTGGCTGATCTGTCCGCCGAGCTTGGCAATTGACTTGCAGACGTTTCGTCGAAATTCGAGGAGACATCACCAGTGCCAGTTTGGGTTGGTGGTTCCCCTCCTTGTGCTCGAGTTTGCGTGGTAAGAAAAGAGCAACTTTAAGCTACAACCTGAGGGACTGTTCATAATCCCCATACATGGAGTCTGACTGGTCTCTTTTTTCTGTCGATTTCAGCGATGGCTGATTTCTTTACGAAACCCAATTTCAACTACGCGGTACTTTTTGCAACATTTTGCAATGTTTGAGATCAATATTATTAGCTTTCAAACTGTCTCGAGAGTCGAAAAACTGCATTTCATATCGCACTGTTTGTGGAGCGTTTTATTAAATGCCTTATAAGTAGTATACAAGTGGTATCATATACCATATCATATCCAGCTCATAAATAAAAATAAGGTATGGTAGATCATCACACTTGTTTATTTGCTTCCTCGTAAAAATGCTATCCATTTTTTGACAGCTCACAACCGCCTTAATTATTCTTGGGACTCATCAGTAAGCGCAGCATATGTGTTTTGTGAATCATACGCTCTATTCGAACCCAAACTATGCGTGACTCGCTAAATACACGCATTTTCAATGTGATTTTGATTTAACTGGCGACTCAACTGACTCGCAACTTAATCTCGCATTTGAAGAGGTAGAAATCATCTCATCTGACAATGGAGAAATGCAGTTAATCACTTGATTTATTGAAAACTTTTCTTAAATTGAATGTTTCTAGTTAGAAAACCCAGGAAACTTGCGATGAATGAAAGAAAACAAAATTTTAGGAGCAGTGTCTACGGTAAAATAATCCACAAGATTATCATACAAACGCGTTCCGAGGTGTTGTCCAAATTGTATCGTTCTATTGGACAGTTCATGAAGGCTGGTCAAAGCATAAATTTTCAGCTTGAGTGTGATTTCGACCACTTTGCTCCTGTGAAGGTCACCCATTGTGATCGAAACGTTAAGTTATGAAAAACTGCAGTTATCATCGTGTTTTTCATTCAGTAATCAACCTATGATGTTTGTTGGTTCATTTTGACCGAAGTGTGGTCATACAAATTTATGTTTTCAGAATGATCTCAGTAAAAAAATGGAAACACAACCTAGACTGAGAACATTATGATGGAATGCCAGATGAACCTTGTTAATTTGAAAATGTTTTCCTTTGCAAACCAGGTATTACTCATGTCATAACAAGCTGACAACTAATGAATAACTATACCATCATACCACCATATCGCCATAACCATCACCTGTTGAATGCATACAGAATACCTAGATTATTTTTATATGGATGATGATCGACCTTCGAGAACAGCTTCGCACCTATCAAGTCATGGACTTCGACCCCGGCCAGCTGTTACCAGATTTGAAAAAACATAGGTAACACAGAGTGTTCTCTACTAATTGAAATTCAACAGGTGAAGAACAAAGACAATATCCGTGGTTTAACTCCTAGGTTAGCAGGTCCAGGCTGGTGATCGTTTGAAATTACTAGACCAAGTGTCAGATTACCCATTCTTCTTTCTACGCCCACATGCTGCGTTCGAATAAAGTCGAAAGACCTTTTGACGCCTTTAGAGAACCAACTGCGGATTCCCCAGAAGCTCAAATCATCTCGTCATACAGAACCCACATTTGTCGTTCGATTCGCTCACTCACCTCCTCCAAGATAATAATTTTGTCGACGTGTGGAAGGAAATGAAGTTGATTCGTGACCAACAATCGTAATCGATCACTGAGAAAACCACAGATGCATTGATAGAACAAGTGGTTGGCAACCCGAGCATCCACCGCTGCTAGCGGATCGTCCAAGAGAAGAAATTTTGCCTGAGAATAGGCCACTCTTGCTAAACTGATACGCGCCTTCTGTCCACCACTCAGGCTGGCACCCCGTTCGCCCACCTGAGTTTTGTCACCTTGAGTAAGGTTTTCGATATCCTGTGGGAAAGAAACACGGTGAGTTTCATTGAGCGTCTTTACACATAACTTGAGGGTTGAACATTCCGGACAATCAATAAATCATGGATATGTGAGTGAAATCTATGCCAGCTGCACAATGATTACGAAGTAATCGGGAATATTTCTCAAACTGCCTTTCAAAAAACAGTCGCATAATAATTACATGGATCAGATGGGAACCAGCAGACTACTCTGCTCCAGGTTGGACAGAATGTTGGAAATATTTGAAGGCTTTCAACTGAGTGCTTTATATGAAATCCAAGGTTTCTGAAGTGAAGAATAGTTGTCTTTTCCCGGTACAATCCTCTGCTGCGTAGATGGCATGTTACACCGCTCGACTGAAGAAAGATCTATCAGACTTAAAGAGGGACTTCCCAGAATTTCAAAAGTTAGATTTTTTTCAAAGTTTAAATAATGATTTGCTAAACAGACCACCGGCTAAACTCCCTGAGTTCTTTCAAATCAGAGGCCAACTGGCTTTGCGACTGTATTTCAAGAAAACTAACGAATGATACGAAAAATCCAGAAAAGATCACCTCACTCCATTGTCCATACCGGCTCCCAATTTTCATTGCTGGCAAAACGCTCTCCTTTACTACTGCACGCTGCCGCCTACATATTTAAAACAGGCCATCCGCTTTTCAATGGAGGAATCGACGAATCCAACAACAGTCTCGAAAACGTCATCTTAGCTAGCTTAGCTAATTTGTACGAAGCTTGAAATTCGAACTGCTTCTCATGTATAATCTGCATACCGCCTGTAGAATGGAACTCGCTTTTCACTTCTGACAGAGTCAGCTTCATCGAACAAACGGCTCTGTTCATCAAATACTGGAAACATATCACTCATATCAAGATGGAAGATATGAAGGGACAGACAACACAACACAGAAAGGACATGCTGTGACTCATATCTGACTTCGAAGAAAATCAGTGCAAGAAATCCATCTTCCTCGGATGAACCATCTGTCTATTACAACCGCTAGTGAGACAAATAAAAATACTGAAACTTACGTTTACCCGTTGGGTGAGTTGATCAATCTGTCTGTCCTAATATAGACTGACAATTTGCAGTTTTACCACTTATTCAAAGTGAACAGTGAGATCACTCACCACATTCAACGTTGTCGCACGCAGGACTTTCCAGTAACGTTCGTGGTCAAACGGCTCGGAAATCAGCACATTTTGTCTCAGTGTTCCTGGAGTGATCCATGCAACCTGGGGCATATAGGCCATACGGTTCGAACGAACAACATCGCCTTCGAAGTATGGAAGTTCACCGAGTATGACTTGCAACAGAGAAGACTAAAATGGGAAAAGTTGACCTTTTTATCCAGACCGCAGTTGTCACCCATGACCAGAACCCAAAATGAACAGTCGCTTACTAGGCAAGGGAGGCATTGGGTGCGATTCCGATAGAAAACCGACAGGCGATTGTGCTATCAGTGGCGGAATTATTTCATGTCCCTATGTTAATTTCACGCCAGACTCGTTAAAAAGCGGATAACCGCATGGAGATAGAAAACGATCCGATTTTTTGGAATAAGAGCACGTGTTCACAAATATGGAAATCGTCAATAAGGTGTATTTGTCCACAAAAACACATCAAAACAACTAGCTAGGAAACGAAACAATGGAACGTGTGTTGTTATGGGAACAAAAACTTCGATAGGAGAATTATGTAGGTCTGGGAAGTTAGGTGGAACTTTGAAGGAATCACTGCCAGAGATATGGGAGCTAAACGTTGAAGCCATCAAGTGGTGCCTAGTTTGTTGAACTCGTGCCGGCATTACCCTTATGTGAATAGTTCATCTTCAGCTCTGATATGAATATTCTGGGTGAACCATACCAGAGGGAGAGTACTGTTGCTTCGTGGTACTCATCAACAGTACATGTCTGTGTGAAAACTCCGGTGTTAAACAAACAGCTAATGCAGAACTAACCTGAATCACTGTGTCTAAACAGGCGAACATGTTCGTGATCAATCCCAACAGGTGTCAATGTCAACAAAATGCACGAAAACTGGTGGGAAAGCAATCCCACAGAGAAAAAGTGCCCGCTTGTAATTCAGGGAATAGGATCTTTGTTGATTCAACCAGTTTACTGGGAAACCAAGAGCAATAACCAAAAGTAATCAGAATTATAAATAAATCACGGGCGAACGCACAATCTCCCAATCTCGAAGCGAACACAGATCCTAGGATTATTGTCGGCCGCAGCTATCTGGTTTCTGTGTTGTCTTATCGTAAGATGCAATAATAGTTAAGAGACGTCACACAAGCTCGGGTAAGAAGCTCTCATAAGTATACTTTTGAGTTTCCTCAGGTTGAGGAGCTTTGGATGATTGGAAAAATGCCAGGAAGCCTGAGGAAGGCCTGGTACAAGCATTCATCAGAAACGAATGAAGGTTTTCGGGATTCAAATAGAAGAATAATCGTGACAAACAGAGGAACTGAACAATTAATACACGTAGTCGGAGTTCCATTACAGAGTGTGAAGTGGTATGTTTATTTGCCAGAGTCCCGCACGCCAAGCTCTGTAGCATCTTGTTATTACAATGAATTTATAGAACTGCAGATAAGAAAAATGTGACATCTCCGTTATTGCACGAACCTAGAGACATCCAGAACTCCTAGACTGCAGAAATGATTCGAGCACGTGTTATTAACCATCCAAACCCATGACAGAATCGGATAATCGACTGGTAACCATGTTCGAGCGTATTTAGTCACTTGATGGTTACGTAACATTTGGTAAGCTTCTGTCGTGAGTCGATATCCATTGAATATTGCATCGTTGATTTTACGAAAAGAAATCTGAACTTGAACATCTTTTCTGACGCTAATACTGCGGCAAGTGAGATGGAAACGACATGCCAACCCAAGTAGCGTTAGTCGGTTCTATTAAGCTCACCAAGTAGCCGATCAGATTTATTCTAATTAAAGACCAAAGCTGTTGATTAGTATGCACTTTAGGGTGAATTACAAACATTTGCAGATAAGCTCTGTGTCAATGAAATACGTCAGGAAAAAATGTACTAATGTATAAATCAGTGGCGTCCATCTTTCGAAAAAAAACTATCCCTAAGGTGTCGTTTCGTTTCAGAAGAGCTTGATAAACCATCGGTAGTTTTTATTTGGGCAACGTTTCACTTTTGACACAAAAGCTTCATCAGACCAAGTGAGCAGGTCACCGAAGTGACCAGGTTATAAGGCAGACGAGGAACCAATCAGCGAGTCCTATTCAGATCATCACACTAGATCCGTGTTGGGGGTCAATTCACGGCTCCAAGTGAGCAGGTCACCAAATTGGCCAGGTTATGAGGCAGACGGGGAACCAATCAGTAAGTCAGTCCTTTCCAGATTATCACACTAGATCAGTGTTGAATGTCAATTAACGGCTCTTGTCGGTAAGTTAAGTTGTCAAAATCTTGCTTTGGTGGATTGGGGGGTTCAAATTAATTCTGATCGGGCTGATGATTCACCTCGGCTGCCACTGGTAGACTTTTCCTGGTCTTTGTGGGATCGTGAGTGCTCGGACAATTTAGTTTGAGGGGAGTTGAAGTCAAGTGGAATTCAGATGATGACAACTCTTCCTTCCGATGACCGCACAACAACACGTGTCAGCTCGACTGATCCAGAACCACTCTCCACACGCTTGCCAGTTCTACACCTTCTATTTTGTTAACACTGGGATGCTTGGCGATTTCTACCGCCTCGGCGATCAGTCTGTGTGACGTGGACCGTAGTCCTCACATCAAAACCTCAAAATTTTCCAAATGTATTTTGTGTCCCGTGTACAGTGCGTGCTCCGCACTATCCCCAAGGTGGATCGAGAACTGCATTCATTGGAGGGATTATCTTTTTAGTTTGAACATTGAAAGTGAGTGGATCGCCCGAACAATGCGATCGACTTCGTAACTATATCATGCCATTAATAATGTTTGCCCACTGATGGACGCGTGTCTGCACCGGAAGCCTGCTGACTGCACAAATTACCAGTTTTCCAGGTCATCTGTTTTTTACTCCTTCCCTTCTTCCATACGGGACAGGCCTAAGCATGAGGCATTACGTTCTCTAAGAGGCGACTGTACTAGCGCCACCGGACTGGTCATACTAAATCCACCGATTCTAGCCTTTGGGTGGCCACCGAAGTCAGTCCGATACACTGTGTGGTCAGCATGGTTTTCTCATAATTTATATGCAACACTAAGGGTCACGGACTGAGATCATGTATTCAGCGCCGTGTGACCAATCGCATTGCATAACTACGTGGCAGTAGCAGACGCGCTTCAGTGTTTTCTACACTGCCAAGCCAATGTCAACACCTTATCGGCATTGGTTTTTGGACACAACAAATTTGCGAGAAGCTTCGGAGATCCTAGTTTTTACTTCGTCGGCAAGAGGGTGGTATCTTACTGGAGAACAGTATCAGAGGAGAAAAAACAGGAGTTTCAAAAAGGAGAGATTTTAGCCCAGTAGCATTTGTTACACATAGCCATCGTGAATGTTCTTACAACCGACGATTGAAAATAAAAATTATGCCTTCTAGATGACTTATTTGCACATGCCAAAAACTGTAATTGACAGAAACCATGGTGAAGAAAGGAGTGGTCACAAATGTCGATTCAGGAGGTAAACATACCAACTCCAACGTCATAACGGTTTTCATTTTATCTATTCTCCTAATCTAAGAGTTATTTCTGTCAGCCAGGATTGTGATATTACAAGAAATCGGACACTTCACAGAAAAAGGTGCTCCGATGGTTTTACTGCTAAAGTTGGTTTGAGCTCACGTACATTTGGATCAAAAGTTGCGTGTCCATTGTCATTGACTGTCAGGTCTAACTTCTTTCATAGGAATGCAACCAAGCATAGTGGTTTTGGCACGCACAGATAGTCAAGTGGATCCTGATGCCACCGCTGGATCACCAGAAAATCAGAACAAATCAGAACAAAACCAGAACAATCAGAACAAATAGACTAACCATATATTTTGCTATCGGAACCGATGTTACCTTCGTGTCTCCTACTTTTGGTTGGCAAAGCCGCTTGAGATTGACAGAGATGCATCTAGCTTAAAAGTTCCAAAATATGCACATAAAGTCAACTAAGGACTTACTTTACCGCAGCCCACTGGTCCTACAATGGCAATCAGTTGGGGACCAACGAATTTAAGGTTGATTCCACTAAGTGTCGGCTTCAGCTTAAGCTGTAAGTAGGAAAACAAGTTTGACGAATAATTAAAAATCGACTCCCATAAGTGCCTGGGATATCCGACCCAAAAAGTCTTTAACAGAAGGAGAGAGAGCAAGATCAATGTAAACCTACTGTTGACCTTTCTATTGATTCCCTAGTAAGAATAGTATATTTCGCTTTCATAGATCCTCCTGTGGACAAGCAAAGGTCGGATCTCAGTTTAATGTTCAGTGACAGTTCACGGAGAAGTTATGGGCAGAACCAGGCGACTGAGTTGTCATTTGGAAGCATACCGGTGCTGCATGTGACGAAGACCACGTCATGAAAAAATGAGCAATAACTAGGAGAAATTGCTTGATTTTGTCCTAACACGAGAGGGACGGGAAACAACGCATGGCCGGAACGGGATGCACCATTTCGCGCAGCGAAGATTTGCAGTCATTTTTTTAATCTGCGCGCAACTATAGAAACGTTAACGTTACAGCTGAACGTGTTTATTCAGTCAGCGATAAATCTTCATATCCAAGGGTGAAATGACCTTTCTATAAATAACACTCGCTCACAAATACCATGATATTCCGATTCTCTGCAACTGGCTTCCTCTTAATGCAAATGTTTGAAAATTTTAGCTGAATTAGGAACAAAATATTTCAGAGGCGTCAGACAACTAAGCTGAGAGCGGCAGGTAACTCTGTTAAGTAGAAAATAAATAACGCGTGCGTTTCAACAGTAGATGAAACTATGATCGTAATCTATCGCTCTTTGTTTTTACCAATAGTGGCACGTATGTCACTTGTAAACCATGTACGAGCATTCGCCTTCGTTAGGTTCACAAAGCACGCATGTGTTGTTCAGCTGTGAGCTCATATACATGTTCGAATCGTCGGAACTGGAGACTCAATGTAATTCCTCGTAGTCAGTAGCACATTGACATTCTTCCGTAAAACGAACAGTTGTCAAAGCCCCATCGGGATTCCGATGCAAAGATGCGCAATGAAGTTGAATCGTTTGGTGTGAGTGGCACGGGGTAATTTTTTTAAACCGCAGGCAGCGGTTTAAACAAACAGGGCAGTTGGTAGCTTGTAGATTTCAAGCTATCCACCCATACCACTCACATCTTTTATGAGTTGGTTCGAATCTAAGCACTCTGATCAAGAACATTCGTCCAGGAACTCTCACTCTTTGAGCCAATCACAGACTTCTGGAGCAAAAGCAAGCTTCATATATACACAGTGCACTCAAATATAACTTGAGACATCACAAGACCCAGCATTCCCTGTATTTGAAGAATACGTTTGTGATTACAAGGTCAAAATATCTCCTTGGGAATTAGTCCGGGAAATTTGTCGGATTAAGTGGCACAATCACTCGAACATGTTAAACGCATCAATTAATACCGCCTTCTTTTTTGTCGATAGAAAAGATGCAAACACTAGTTCATACCAAGGGAGCGCTCCTTCTCTTACACTCGGCTGTGATAATCTCCAGTTATTTGCTTACTTTACCCCAGGCCTCTTGAGGAAAAAGTGATAAAATAAGCAGCAAAATAGAGATACCACTGAGAACTTCTCGGTAAAAAGCCCTGTATGGGACCCACCGAAACTTCCTGTAGTTGTGAGCAGCTCTGCTTGCTGATACTGAATTCTCTGACTTCTTTTAAAGTCGCCAGACTGTTGCATACAATGACTAATTTCACAATCTGATCCTCAGCGTGTGTTGACGTGACCTAAGGTGATTCAACCGTAAAATAAATAGGGAATTTTGAAGCAGCAGATCTTTGAAGGTACAACGATTTGTCGGTGTCCGGTACATAACTAATCTCTACATAACGCATACAATCTCAAATAAAGCACCATACAAAACTGAAAACCAATTGCTATGTTTGGGTTTCCCAGGTTTTGGAAGGGACACTTTGGCTTTTTCGTGGCGTTCTATACCACAGTCCTCCTTCTTTTCATAGAGATCATCCAAGGTCAGTCTCAAGCAGTGATAATCCCTTGAATCGTCTTCTTGTGTTTTTTCCCCCAAGAAAGCAACTACTTTCCACAAGCCACCCGTTATTAACGGTCTCCCCAAGCGCTCATTCAAGGGGAAAACTGTATTTTGGAAGAAGGAGAAAGCTGGTAAAAAAATCTCAGACAGGACACACCGAAGCAACCCGCAACAGTGCAATTTCCATAGCGTGGTGCGAAAGATAATACACGGATGACTGTGATTCAGTTTTTCAATGAATCATGTATGGTCCCACTCAAGTCATCAACACTCAAAACGTGATTCTTGGAAAGGATCAGTACAATAATCACAGCCACGCGTTACACCAAATTATCGAATTCACCAGTGCCGCTTAAGTGATAAAACTGTCTGGGAAAAGGACTGAAATTCGCACTTACCAGAGACATTGGTGTCTACAAATAAAATGTCACGTGTCATAAGTTGTTTGCTATTAGGGTAAATGATATAGAAAGGCGGTTTTGGAAGTTTCAACTATGCTTACATTTGAGATCGATTTAAAAAGTTCTATGGATTAATTTGTGGTCAGTAAAATAAAGGTTGTATTTAAGAACGGGTACACAGTTGCTTATGTCATAATACGGGAGTCCTGCACATCATAGTTTTGAGGCTCAGCGGGAGGCTGGCTCTTGTAGTCCAACCGTAGTTTGCCCATTTGCATCAGGTAAATTGGCCAATAACACGTGCACAGGGTGTGTATTCTTAGCGGTTAAGTCACCACGGACATTCAAACACGTTGGTTGAGATTAGATGACAAGCCAAAAGTCAAATTGCAGGGTGCAACGTAGGAGAAATCAGGTACAACCTTCGGTTCATACAGCCGACCTGAATGTCATGGTACGTTCCTTATATAATATACCCTGTTGAACTCAGAAATGAATTCGGGAGAAGCAAATGGAACACTGGTGCGCACCTAGTTTGTTTAGGCTGTTCTAGTCTCGCCAACTTTGGAAGACAACGCACTTAAGTACTGATATCAGTCGGCCTATAAAAGTGTCTTAGTGGTACACTTGCCGCCTCCCCTCACAAGAGTCTGTCTGTAATTGCACCAAACGAGTTTATACGAATTTAGAACACATGAAAATTTAGTGTAGTCTCCAAACGTCCACTGTAGGACAATGTCGCATTGCCGATCTTTGATTGTTAGTCTAAACTGCAGAGGCCATGGTTTTTAGATTATGTATAATGTTCGATTTCCTACGTTATAATCAAATTTATTAATAGCGTCAGTTAGTCTCAATACCAGTATAAGCGGAAGTACCATTTGCCTGTGTGCGAGGTGTACGGAAGCCAACCGCTTCCCTGAAACCTCTGGCGATTACTACACGATGGAATTGACGTCTCCAAGTCATATTGACATTTTGTTTGCTTCAAACAGAATGGACTCAAACTAAACCTCTCAACTTTTTTCGGTACTGACAGCAACGTCAACCATTATGTTCATAATTAGATTGAGAATCTGCGATACAGATTATGCCAAACACCTTTACGAAGGCGGTGGATCAATCCCAAAAATGGACGCTTTGGCTAAGCCACAGAAAGCAAAAATGAAAATGTGTCGGATAGTAATTGTGGAGTGAGCGTAGTCAAATCCAACTGAATCAGAGGGCTGGCTTTGTACAACCGAACTCAACGGCACATCGGTTTCATTTCGCACTTTGTGCTGACATATTGGTTGGCTTCCAAGATGTATCACTACGTTAAAGCTTTCCTAAAATGTACTCTGCATCAGAAGACATGGCCTTCGTGACGATTCTAACCACTTCTACCATCCTAAAAGAAGATTCAACCAAAAATGTCCAGATGGTGCCCGAAACTCAACCTTTGCGGTAAGTTACTTCGCCAAACTATTTCTTCTACATAAAACGTGCCATGTATGAAGTTGTCTTTTGCAAGCAAAAACCTTCCGGAAATCTAGGGATTCTATGGCAGGATTCGCTCATGTATAGCGGGTGGACTACTTGGCCCTTCGAGGTATTACGTCCTGTTATCTCTATTTGTAGGAATAAATAGCAGATGCGGGTTGTCAGACGTTAAGACTCCATTTAGCTGCGTCGGTCGCAAACAGAATACGACCTTCAGTCATAAGCAGACAGCACTGAGTTGCACTGCGACAAAGGAAAGCCAGCCCCGGATACCAAATGGTTAAAAGACCGTGGGCTAATATTTTGATGAACCGGGTTCAAACTTCAGCTTGACTTTCATCCCCTGTTATGTTAGTCTGCACACATGTTGTTCAAAATTAAAGATACAAAAAGAATTTTCAAGCGTTAAATCTAACCGTTTGAAGGGCTAGCTTGTTTACACCTGACATTATCAGGTTCTGATGGTGAAAGATTCAATGAGTTTGAGGAATCCTATAGGTGTGTGGCTTCTGAAAGTTAACACCTTGCAACTTATACCACTTTTCTGAATGATCATTGGACATCTTCGGAATCATCCCATATAAGTAGTAAAACTTTTATTCAATGATTTTTCAGTCACTCGTCAACTAATTTCACACATTCCTGATTCCCAACACGGATATGTTTACGACACAGCAATAATTGCTACACATAGTTCGATATCATTCCAGCAACAGGAATTTATTCACGGCTATGAACATTGCGGAAATTCTGTGATTAGTAAGCACTCAAATGAGAATGAAGTGTCCGGGAAGAGCGCTTTGCAAACTAATGTACGCCATGGCAACGCTGAGGAGATATGTCGATTGCCAAGGCTACTACTGTGCGACAATTCCTCACATCCGTGTACAACGTCAAGGGGTTGGACTCATCTGAAAAGTCGACCAACTGACGAAGCAGGATTTGTGGATAAGGACTATTTTGGCCAACGGTTATCCAGAAAAGTTCATTCTCCATACAAAGCAACCCAAAGCTTGCACCCAATTTGAACAACACAGACAAAAAGTAAATTACGATGTGCGTCCAATTAAATTGCGACCATACCAAACAACATCAAGCAGAAACTTCAGTCCACTTAGAATCGCACATGCAGAGCAGTTTAATTGCGCTTTATCTGGACAAACATGGAGAACTTTTTCAGAATAGGTCCCATATATTGAGTGATCATTTTGTTATACATAACATTTGTAAGTTTGGGTAACACCTATATCGAAGTCTTTCTCAATGGATCATGGAATACACTCGACAAACTTTGAATCAAAATTAGTCAACAACACCCATATGTTCGCAGAGCAGCATGCACTTACAGAGCCCCATTCAGGGGAAAACTTTTGGTTATTCTACTTACGTCAAACCAACGTGCCGAGACGTTGTCCATATAAATGTGTGGTTCCTCTGTGTCGATCACGGCGGGTTGCCTATCATCCTGAAGTTCGGGGATCATCAGGAAGCTCTGGAAAAAAATAGATAATACTCGGAAAAACTATGTGGGATCATTTGTGTACAGCTATAAATAGTAAAGTAGCTATAGACTAAAACAGAAGTTGTGGTACTATCTGGTATGCAAAGGAAGATACGCATATGGTCACGTGATTCAACTGGACGGAGAAATTACCTGTATGCGTTCACAGCTGACTTTAGTGTCGAACAGATATTGAATGCACATTGGAAGGAACAGTGTGAGCGAAAGAAACAAAGCATTCAGATAGCTCAGCAAAGTGAACAGTTCGCTACTTCGTAACGCCAACGGATCCGTTGGACCTTCATGTAAAAGCACGATAGGCAACAGCATTGCCAACGTTGTGACCTTGACTTGGTAGACCAGCTGAGTAAATTGAAATGTTTGACAAAGTCGGACAAACACGATCAGATGGGTTTCACGTCTGAAAATAGGACAGTTTAGTATAAATGCTGAGTAGGGAGAAGAGGGTGGACGCACTTGAATAACGGCTAATGTAGCTAGATTGGGGCTTACTTGAGATCCATTGTTTAAACAAGAAAACTATGCTCAAGTAAAGGCTTTACGATTTACCTACACCAGGATAACTTACCATCAAAATCGTAAAGTGAGTTGAAAAGGTATGTTAGAGGAACATCCGGTTTCCAGACTACAAAGGTCAATAGAGCGGCCAGTCAACACGTAGCCATGTGGTACGGTTTGCTTGATTGAAAGATGGGTGGCGCTCCATCCTGACCAAGTGTGAGTCAACCACATTGTTGACTACCAAATCTTGGTCTAATGATTTAGTCTTCAACTAATAACGGGGATTCGAAACGCCCTGTAAACTCGTGAGATGAACCATGTTCATCCCAGAGCTTGGGCGGTCATGACCATACATACCATTTTTGTAAGTTCACGTGAGGTTGCGGTATCACCTATATCGGCGAAACTAATCGACGTATTTCTCAAAGGATCGTGAACCATTCCGCAGACCTTGGTGTAAAACAGGTCTACATAACTAACGGCCAGATCAAATCGTAGGTCATCTACTGCAAAAACACCTCTGAGACAGGTCAGCTGATTGACCCTGCTCATGCTTTAACCACTCGATTACACACTGAAAATCCGAAAACGTTAATTTTCTGGGAAGAGATGTTGATGAGAACACAGAAGGCTTAATTGTACGCACACGAACCATTGATCCGGGCAACTAGATTACCTCAAAACTGAAACTAAACTACAGTCTCTAAGACCACTGTGTCGTTATTGTTCTTAAATCGTGTTCTCATACGCCTTATCTGAAATTATTGAATGTTCTACGTTTGGGACCGCTGAAAGTATTTTGAAACTGTGAAAACTCCCAAATTACGGCCTTTCTCTGTTCCGGCAAGATATGAAAATCTGTTGGTTTAGTCTTGACTTGGCGTTTGGCATTTTGTCCAGTAAATTAGAAATTCAATAAAGCGAAATAGCAATAGGATGAATTGGATTTTTTCAATTGGAATCACTCACTAAGGCCTCTGCGCATGCAAAACCTAGACCGCCTTATCCTGCGAGGTTGGGATAATGTCGTCCTTCCACACATGACACCTTGAATATACCTCCGATAGTTAAATCCGAATATAAAATCATCAGCAATCGATAGTCAGCGAACGAGATACTTGATGGAAAACAGCGAGTCCTACCGCGACGCCTCCTTTCAGTGTCATTGTCACCTCCGGATAACTCCATTTAAAACGTGGTACTTTGGTAGGTGAAATTCAGTTAAGTTAAAACACGCAAGCGCCGTGAAACCTTTTTCCGTGTATATCTTTGTAATGTGCTACTCATAAGGTTGCTGAAACTCCATTGAAAGTCCACGACCGGCTTAGCCCTTCTTGGGGCTCATCAGGTAGGCGCAGTCCCCGGGTTTTCGTCAACCTTATGTTCTACTTGAAACCAAATTCCACGAAATTAGCGAATATACACTCATATGCAAACTAATTTGGTTCTTTCGACAGACTCACTTGGAACCCAGCTGAATCTCTCGTTTATGATGCTCTCAGGCAACTGAATGTGCTGCACCAGGCGGCCTCATGTTTCAGTCGCTACGATATTCGAGATATCGCGATACATGTATATATTTGTGATGCACTCACTACTCATAAGGGTGCTTAAAATCCGTCGACAGTGTGTCGACAATGTGTCTGTCAATCGACCTATTTCCATCCAAGATGGACGAACAACCCTCCTGCCTGAATCATATCGCCGAAAACAGTCGTGGGCTGTCGATGGATTTTCAGCAACCTTATGAGTAGTACATTACAAAGATATACATGTATCGCGGTGTCTCGAATATCGTAGCGACTGAAACATGAGGCCGCCTGGTGCAGCACATTCAGTTGCGTGAGAGCATCATAAACGAGAGATTCAGCTGGGTTCCAAGTGAGTCTGTCGAAAGAACCAAATTAGTTTGCATATGAGTGTATATTCGCTAATTTCGTGGAATTTGGTTTCAAGTAGAACATAAGGTTGACGAAAACCCGGGGACTGCGCCTACCTGATGAGCCCCAAGAAGGGCTAAGCCTTTTTCTTCCGGTTTTCTACCATGCTTTGTTTTTGTCGCCAGAGGTCAAACAACCGACACCACACTGACAATATCGCATGGGTTAGCGAAAAAATGTTTGCGGTCCAGCTACCAAGTTTGGCGAAAAAACCAGTAACCATGCGGTGAGACGGCAACACCAATATTCTACATACACACACACTGACATGCGGCCTCAAGTGATTTCCCTTCGAAAACAAAACTATGCTACAACATAGATCCAATCATTTGTGAAATTTTCGTGACCCTCAGTACACGGATGATCCACAAATCTGTGGGTGTCTGTGGGCGAATGACTCATGTCTAGTGCCCGAACTCAATTTCAAGAACACTAGTGTTCGCGCTGCTAAAATATGAAAATGTCAGTGTTCGGTAAGACATTGCCTGGTTTATGATAGTGTTGCATTACCGGACGACTTATCGACCAGACGCATCTATCCCATAGGTGAAAACAAAGGATAGAAGGACACCATTTTTTGAGGTCTGTAAGATGACTTTTTTGGAGGGAGGTGGTCGAAAACCTTGATTCAATACGTAAGGTCGAATGAGAATAATGCGGAAGGATATAAGAGTTTTAATGACTTTGGCTAAAGTGAGGGCGTAATGGTCCACAGTATAGTCAACACAGTGGTGTTCCTTCAAGAGAAGATTGCTTTGTTCCCTGTGGCAAAGTTCTGAAAGCATTCGTCCTGTTTCACCCGATCAGAAATTATGAAGAACACGTTGTTCATCGATGATAGTCATCTGACCATTTCAAAAATTCGCAGTATTATACTCAGATACTCCTGCAGGGTTCGAGTTTGGTACGATGTCATGGAATATTCAATTTTAACCAGGCTCGCAACTTTGACCGACTGGAACTTACCGACGAATTTCACGTGTTAATGCCAAGAATAATGATTCCCAAGCGTGAAGTTTGATTATTTTGATGCCATTGATTACGTCAGATAGCATTCGAATTCTGGCATCGGTCACTTTGGCGATTCGAACTCTGAAAGGATCAATAGAATAATATAAGACCTACAAGACTGACAGGCATGATAGAACAAGGTTCAACAATAACTGGTACAACAAGCTTCGGGGGGTTATGGAGGTGGTATATGATGGACCAGACAGTGCAAAGAATGCTCGCGTGTAATCGAACCACTTTAGTAAGACGGAGATTAACTTTTGGTGAAAGGGGATTACAGTGGCCCCACCCAGTAAGAAACATAGAGGGGAGCAATCCACTTAAAAATCTCTCAGTTGTCTCAGAAGCTTTGGTAAACAACCAGTAGTTTTTAATTCGGCAACTTTTCGCTTTTGAGACAAACGCTTTACCAGGTCAAGTGAGCAGGTTTTAAGGCAGAAGGAGAACCCATCAGTAAAACGTTTTCATATTAGCGCACTAAATCAGTGTTTAGTGTCAATTAACTGCTCTTGTTGGTTAGCATGGTTGTCAAAATCTTGAATTGATGGGTTGGGGGAGTCTCAAATTAGTTCCAATCGGGTTTGGTTCCCTGATCTTCCGCTTCAGGGTGCTTTAATTGACTGTTCACCGGAAGCGTGTGAAGAACGGTCTTGGATCAATAGAACTGACACGTGTTGATGTGCAGTTATCAGAATGAGTGGTAGTTATCACTGAATTCCACTTAACCTCACCCAACTCTCCTCCCCCCAACTAACTTGTCGCAACACTCACAAGCCCTCAAAGGCCAACGAAATCTAACAGTGACACCCGCGGTGAATCGTTGACTGAAGCCTTTGTTCAATTACAAACCACCGATTGTTTACCAAACCCTTCTGAGGCGATGATTTCTCAATAAATTCCAAACTTTTTCCAAATCTCTTGGTTGGTTTACATTTTTAGGACAAAGATCAGACCTAAAGAAAAAGTAAACCAATGAGCGATTCCCGATAAGGCGGTGTAAGAATCTCGACCAAACACAATCTCGCAATACGGGATTTTATTGCTCCAGGAGACAGCGATAGAGTAAGCCGACCCAGCCATTTAGAACATATGACCTCTTGAACAACGGCTACTTTAGTTCGAATTCATTTCGGTTTTCACCTGTGGCATAATTTCAGTGAACATTTGTCCTACAGCTCGTAAGAATTAATAGGGCTGAGATACAATCATGTTGCTTTAGCTAAAAAATTATGATGATGATGCTTCTATAAACGATTGGCTCAAGACTGCAAAACTGCCCTTCAGTCATAATGGATGGAAGAATCTACTTCGGCTAACCCATACTGTCCCGTGGAACAAGATTCACCGAGACAATATTAATTATACTAAATTCGATCTAAACATAAGACGATGAAAAGCATCCATTGTTGACTGAAAGATCATAAAAAAGAAAAATGCCTTTACGACGTTTGCGAAATACATTCAAGGTTGTCTACGAAATCTTGTTTCAACAAGCGATACATCCATGGTGGAAAAATTCCCACTACACTACGGGATTTTCGAATGGGCACGGTACATGTAGAATCACAGAATAGGCCTTGGGCTCAGTGGTAACTGGATTCAAAAAATTCATCACATCATTCCCACCAAAATAAAACTACACAAATTGCTTTATACTCTCAGTGGCTTTTCTGTCTGAGGATATTTACGTCTAAAAAGACTGTTCGGCAATCACAGCATCATAGAAGAGGTCTTGCAGCCCACTTGTCAACTGTCCGTGAATGAATGCAAGCAGTGCGGTAGGATGAAAAAAGAGTGGTGACCTTGTTCTCCTATCTCTGCCAATAAATTCCGTCGGCTCTATTGAGCTGTTACGAGATTTTGTTGGTGTTTCTGTGATTCGACTACGGTTAAAAATACCCTCGGGGTCACACTGCTGGTGGAAAGACTGGTGTAATTCGAATACGCCGTTGACTGAATCTGAAGCTGAGTTCAACAAACATAATGAAGAAGGACCTCAGGACAGTAGAAACGCTGTACCATGCGTCCCGCTCCTATCAGCATGTCCCACA